TTTCACCGTCTCTATTTCAAGACCAACCATGCCATGCAATGTACAACCAACAACTCGTATGCAATTAAGACCACTTCCGACCTTAACATACACATACCACATATTCCAACACAATGAAATACCAACAATTGTACATGCATTGCAAATATAATTCACAAATCAAGTAATGTACAAGTTTAAACAATGTTACTTCCATGATTTATTCAAATCAAACGCAATTTCATAAACCGGAAGCATTCAACTTAATTCGACTTCACCTGCAAAATTCACATTTTTCAACAAAGATGCCATCCAACAGATCCACCAAAATTACTATCATAAACCGCATAATAATTCGGACTATTCGGGCTAAATTCAATTAATTAATTATAGGTCAAAAATTCTATTATTTCTTCTTCATAAATCCTACAAAATTATTTGTTGAAGATATTAAATTATTACTATTAAATAATTTATATTTATAAATCGGAACGTAGTTACTTCTTAAATTCGCTACAGTATTGCAAAACAATTATTAAATATTACTTCTTATTTTTATGTTACAGTAAGCAAACAATTATTAAATGTTACTTCTTATTTTTATGCTACATTAAGCAAACAATTATTAAATGTTACTTCTTATTTTTATGTTACATTAAGCAAACAATTATTAAATGTTACTTCTTATTTTTATGTTACATTAAGCAATTGCCTTGAAGTGTTACGCTACAGTATGAAATTAACCCTCCTACACATTACTTTATCCTGCGCGCTACAGTGGCAAGTAGTATTACTTCCAAAACACCACTTCATTCTTGTACCGTTACCGCAAGCAAGTAATACCAAAGCCACTTTATTTGTGTTGATACAGTAACAGCCAATACTCCAATATACTACTTCCTTCTTGTATTACAGTAAGCAAGCATATTCCTCTTAGTAATAACTTCCTAATATCACTACATTATTACAAATTAATTCTCCTACATGCTACCTCTTAAAATCGCTACAGCTTGCAAATTAATTCTCCCAAACACCACTTCCTTATTATGCTACAGTAACAAGAATGGAATTTGAAAAGAAAAATATTAAAGCACTTATATATATACATAACTAATTAAATTGGGTCCTAAATCATCTCTCAATTTCATCAATCTACCAATTTTTTTTTCATCATAACATAGTAGTGAAACTAATACCCTAAACCCCTAATTTATTCCAAAATCAAAACTACAAAATCACACACTAAATAATTTGTGGAAGTCAAACCCTTACCTTGGTGTGGGTTTTCTTGAAACAAGATGATGATGATGTTGCAACTCCAAACCTAGCTTCCTTTCTTCTCTTCTTCTCTTTCTCTCTTCTTTTCTTTCTTCTTTCTATTTCTATTCCTACCAACTATCCTACTTTCTATCTTATAAAACAAATTTTACTACTACTTACTTTCCTCCCCCTAACTTTCTAAAATTCTAATTTGGCCCAATCTATTTAATTCAAATTATATCATATAATTCTATTAAAATCATATTACATTAATTAATATTTATTCTATATAAACCTAATCATGCCAATTAATCAAACAAAGTCAAATATTACCGCACACCAAATTAATATTATTCAAAATAATGTTTCGACATAATAAATATTTTTATTTCATATTACCAAATTAATATTTCAATCGATCACAATTGAATATATTTCTCAAAATAGATATAATTTAATAGTTTTGGAAAATAATTAATGAAATTACATTTAAATATAAACGGCGTGTTACAACAAGCATTGTTCCAAGGCATGGTACAAGGCTACCTAGAGTGTTTACAAGCTTTAAACATGTTTATCTGAATTTTTATGTTAAGTGCGTGCTGAACAAACATGTTAGAGGCTCAAGACAAGTTGACTTTGTGATTAAAGTAACTTTTCAAGAATAGCAATGGTGTCTTTCTTCCCAAAATGGCAATGTAGCTTGGACAATGGCTCAATTGCTTGGAAAATGGCTCAATATGTTATTTAAACATTAACTTATGGAGTGAAATGTAAGTTAGAAGCCTGGAAAGTGAGATTATGCATCATAGGTTTGAGATTTGGTTGAATGTTCATCATCAAAATGACCTAAAAATCAAGAATGAAACCTCAACTTCTTCTCTTTAATTCTCTTTGCTCAAGCGTGATCTCTTCAATTTCTTAGAAATTATAGAAATCTTGAAACATTATATACAACCTTCATGTTGACCATTTTGGCTAAATCATCTTGGAGCTTAGTGAAAATTGGCCAAGAAGTTAGGTCAAAATTCTGATCAAATTGATCAAAATTTTCACCATGTTTTAGAAAAAAAAGAGTATGATTCATGAATTTATAACTCAAAATATAAGCACTTCTAGGGCTTGATCAGTAAATAAAAGTTGTAAATCTCATCAAGATCTACAACTTTCACGTTGAAAGTTTTCTTTGAATCATCTTACATCTTGGTGAAGAATTGGCATGAAGTGGTGAAATTATCATGTACAAAAACACTTAGAAAAATTTCAAAGTCTTGAAAAGTTTGACTTTTCAAATTGACTTTTTGACTTTCTTGATTTCTTGATAATAAAGCTTCATATTTTGAATATCTTGATGAATTGTGATCTTTGAAAATAACTCTTGATCAAAAAGTCAAAGTTTCACTTTTTGTGCATCAGTTGACTTTTCATCAGTTGACCCAAAATTCAACTATCAATCCATTGATTTTGAAAGATGATTTGAGCTATGAGATTATGTCAATATGTTGTATTTGAATCCTTAAGATTGTTCTTCAAGCCATTGGATCATGTATTAGGTCAAAAGTCAGTGATCAATCAATTACAGTCAAAACCCTAATTTTGACCATTTTGCCCTTTTGGTAAATTAAGTGCTTTTCTTGAGGGATTGTGATCAATACTTGATCAAATGATGAACATGACTTTAAAATCTTGATTTTGGCCAAAAATCATGAAGTTTGACTGTAGGTTGACCATAATTGACTTTTATCCAATACAACTGATTTTCAGTCATCTGAGTAATTGACTGAGCAAATTTGTGATGCAAAACTTGAAACTTGGCATGAGCACCCTTGGAGACCTATAACGATCCATGAAGATCATTTGAGGCATCAGTGTTTAGGAGGTGGTTTGACCTAGTCAACACTTGTGCAAACTTGAGCCATTGGAGATCTTGTGAGAAATGTCTTGAGAAAAGAGAGGGCAAATTTTGGGGTACAACAAGGAGTATATATAAAATTGTGCAACCTATAGAGGGATTAAACTTATGAGTCATACCATGAAGTTATGAGAAATAATGATTGAACAAAGACTAAGAAAAGAGACTCAAGTCACTTAGGATCAATTTGGTTTTATGCATGGAAGGTCGACCATGAAAGTGGTCTATTTACTACGACGTGTGATGGAACAATATCAGATGAATCAACAAGAGTTGCACTTAACTTTTACTGACTTGGACAAGGCGTATGATATAGTGCCTAGATAAATTTTCTGGAAAACCCTAAAGAAGAAAGAAGTTAGGATTGCAAATATTCGAGCTATCCAAGATATGTATGAAGGGGTATTTACTAGCATGCAAACACAAGAAAGAGAGACAAATAATTTTATCATTACAATAAGTTTGCATCAAGGTTGAACCCTAAGTCCATATTTTTTTACCTTAATTTTGGATGTACACACGAAACACATCCAAGAGCTAGCACCGAGATGCATGTTTTTAGATGATATAGTCTTATTTGGAGAGTCAAAGGGGGGTTTAAATGAGAGGTTTGATAATTATAGACAAACTTTAAAAACACATGATTTTCGCCTAAGTAAAAGTAAGGCGAAGTATATGAAATGTAAGTTAAACAAAATAAGAAGTGTTTCTAACCTAAAGGTGAAATTTGGAGATCATATCATCCCTTAAGTCACACAATTTAAATATCTTGGATTTATAATACAAAATGATGAAGAAATATAAGAGGATGTAAATTATTGAATTCAAGTTAGGTGGGTGAAATGGAGGATAACTTCAGGGTTTTATGTGACGCAAAAGTATCGCTCAAGTTGAAGAATTTTTTTTATCATATTACGGTAAGACTTGCGATGTTGTACGTAATAGAATGTTGGGCGCTTAAGAATCAACACAAGAATAAAATGAGTGTAGCAAAGATGGTAATGTTGCGTGAGATGTGTGGTAAGATTAAAAAAGATATGATTATAAATGAAAATATTAGAGATAATGTTGGGGTAATATCTATAGTAGAGAAGATGATGAAAAATAGATTTAGGTGATTTGAGCATGTAGAGAGGAGATTGATAGATTTTGTGGTAAGAAGAGTATGAGATGAAGAGAAGTCAAATAATTAGAGAGAAAAAGACCTATAAAGATTATAAGAAAATTTATTAACAAAGATTTCAAATTTAATAATAATAATAATATAAATAAAAACACAAATTTAAATAAAATATTATGACAAATTGATCCATCAAACCAATTTTTCTTAATAGGACAGGAATTTGATTGTTAGTTGTTGGTTGATAACCATAACAAACATAATTTATAATTTATGTGATCAATAAGTTTAAACATAGTAAACTTAATGAAGCAAAAGTATACTTGAGCTTGTATATTAATTTAGACGATTTATGACATATTTGGATAACTATTAAAAAAACACACACTAATGTGGACCATATACAACACAAGCACACTATAAGAATGAATAATACTCTTTTCATTGTTTTTTAAGTGTCATTTTAGATTAAATAAAAATCTATTTAAATATCGTTTTTATAATTTAATATAATAATTTATCAATTATACCTTACTTTTTAAATAATTCTACTTTACATTTATCATAAAGTTAATTAATTTTCATTTAATTATTGAAAAAAGATAAAATAGATGTATAATCAAATTTATTTAAAAAGAAAAAATAAATAAAAATAAAATTAAAAAAATAACTCTAATAATTCAATATCATTATTAAAGAGGTATATATTAAAATGACACTTAAAAATGAATGGAAGAAGTATACGGGCAACGTAGACATCCCATTGTTATACACTTATACGCTACTTGGCGGCATATTTTGTCAACCATAGTTTTCGATTTTCCTCTTCTCCGACTCCCTCTTTTTCTCATTGTTTTCGGAGCCACTTTTTTCTACTCTCTCACTTTCAATTTCAGCTACTTCTCTTTTTCTTTTTCTCCCGTTCCTTTTCTTCCTTTTGTTCTTTTACATTTTCTCGGTATCGTTGAAGCAAGTAGTTGGTGGGAGCTTCTGCAGAACGTTTCTAGGTCAGACCCTTTTCTAAATCTCGTCACTCTTTGTCAGATCCGTTAACTCATCTTCACATTTTCGCATATTTTTAGTTTCATTTGTCTGAATATGATGCATGTTTTTTCATGGAGTTTTTACACACTATGTTCATTGATTATTAGATATTATAGATAATACAAAGCAATTTATTAGGTTAAAGATATTAGATAGCTATTTGTCTTGATCAGTTTCATGGTTTCATTCATATTGTGATTACATGTGTATCATGACACCACTGAACAAAGGTGTGCTCCATATGTATATGTGTCTGATGTCTGACACGTGTCTGAAAGGCGTGTCAGACCTGTGTCTGACATGACACGTGTATGTGTCCATACATCAATTCATGTGATTATGTTCAAGTTTTTTTTTTTATTATTAAATTTGTTGGTGTCATTTTCCGGTGTCCATGTATTGCTTTGTAGATGATAATTTTAGTTGAGGTGAGTAAATGGATTTTGTCAAACCTTTGTTTGACTTTGTTTGACAATTTGAATGAATCTTATTTGTTGTGAGGCTAAAAGATCATGATCGAGTGCTGTTTGGAATGACCTATTTGAGCATATCAACTTTCTAAGTTTGTTTGGAAGAGCTTATAGAAGGAACTTATTACAGGTCTATAATGTGTTTCAAGTTTATTTCCATAAGCTTTTCATTATTGCTTATTAAAGCATATTATAGTTACATGAGCCATTTTTTTAACTTATATGATAAACACATATGCCGAAAGTTATAGCGAAAGTTTTCGAGATTAACGATTTGGATAGAAGCGTGGTCTTGAATAGAAGATTATGAAGAAAGTTGATCCATGTAGTCGACACCACCGTTTAGTGGGATAAGACTTGGTTGTTGTTGTATGATAAACACTTATGCCGTTATGCATTTACGTAAATCTCCATTCCTTGTGTGTTTTGTTCATTTCTAATTGCACTATGCATGTGTGTTTCATCTCATAGTGTTTTGTGTAGGCTTTTGAATCAAATTATGGATAGTGATTCTTTGGTAATTGCCAATGGAAATGGCATTGAGAACTCACAGCCGAATCCTCAGAGGACTTACCAAGCAGTAGTAATTGCAACCCGAGATATGGGTATTTCTAAGGATGGGAAATTACCATGGACATTGCCTACTGATCAAAAGTTTTTTGATGACATCACAACAATAACATCTGATCCTAAGAAGAAGAATGCTGTTGTAATGGGTAGAAAATCATGGGAGGCTATCCCTCCTGAGAGCAGGCCTCTCAGTGGCCGTCTTAATGTTGTTCTGACTCGCTCAGGTAGTTTTGATATTGCAACTGCAGAGAATGTTCTTATATGTGGAAGCGTGTCGTCTGCTATGGAACTGTTAGCTGCTTCTCCTTACTGTCTTTCAATTGAGAAAGTATTTCTTACAGGCGGCGGTGAGATATTTAGGTATATATTATCTATATTTTGATCTTCATAATCACGTGAAGCTCTTTCTTTGTTGTATCTCATGATTTTTATGTACAGAGAAGCACTTCATGGACCTGGATGTGAAGCCATCCATATTACAGAAATTGAAGCGAGCATTGAGTGTGACACTTTTATGCCTCGAGTTGATTTGTCTGTATTTCATCCGTGGTACTCGTCTTTTCCTTTGGTGGAAAATGGCATCCGCTATTCTTTTAACACTTATGTGCGCGTAAGGTGTTCAACAGAAGAGTCCCAGGGTCTGGATACTGATCCAATTCTTTATGATAGTTCAAACTCTCTAAAATTTGAGGTCAAGGATTTTTCTTTTCTTCCCAAGATTATTTTTGAGAGACACGAGGAGTACAAGTATCTTAAATTAGTTGAAGAAATCATTTCTGAAGGTACAACTAAGGATGATAGGACAGGGACTGGTACCTTGTCCATATTTGGTTCCAAGGTAACATTTTAATTGGTTTCTTTGTTGTGGAGTTTCTATGATTTACATGCTGACCTCCTCTATAATTTCACAGATGAGATTTAATCTGCGAAAAAGCTTTCCACTTTTAACAACTAAGGTATGTCCAACTTTTGATTCAAAATTTGTATAATCTACTGTAGAAAGTAATTTGTTTAATGTGCTCTCATTTTCCTTTTCTATTATTTCGATGTAATTATTATTTGTGTTTTCTGCTTTGAATCTTTATGGAGAAGACCGAAGAGGAATATCTGTTTACATTTTGATAAAAAAGTTGACATGATTTCTTCATTTGGTTTCTAGAAAGTATTTTGGCGAGGGGTTGTTGAAGAACTTCTTTGGTTTATCAGTGGCTCAACAAATGCCAAGGTAATGATATAATTTTCCATTTTCCAATTTTCCCACACTCATGCACGCACACATAATAAGGAAACATGACTTTTCGTAGTTAGGTTACAATTCACAAACTAGCTGGCACGGGCCAAATATAGAGGAACTTGAGGCTGGTGTACTTGATATTATTTGAAACACTTGAGCTTGGGTTTTAATATAGCTAGACTTGTGGCTTGGTAAGCAGCTATTTTTTTGCTCTCATAGGTTCTCAAAAGCTATGCTTCTGGATCAAAATTCAATTATACTAGTGCATTGCATGATGTACTTCCCTAGGTTCCCCAAAGAACGTCACATTGATTCATTGGATATGATATGACTAATGACTGTGGTGAATTTTATTCTTAAAAATACTATTTTAACAGGTGCTGCAGGAAAAAGGCATTCATATATGGGACGGAAATGCATCGAGAGAATACCTTGATAGGTGAGCATGACTATCGACTAGTTTAGTTATTGCAAATTTTTATTTTCCATGCAGTTATTAACTGGATCTGAAATTTATTTTTCAGCATTGGTTTGAAAGAAAGGGAGGAGGGTGACTTAGGACCTGTTTATGGGTTTCAGTGGAGGCACTTTGGTGCAAAGTAGGTGGATCATGCCTTTCTCTCTGCCCATCATCACACTATTTTGTGGGATTGGTTAGCTCTTTACTTAATGTCTCACATTTTGTAGGTATACTAACATGCATGAGGACTACTCCGGCCAAGGATTTGATCAGCTTTTAGATGTTATTAATAAGATAAAGCATAATCCCGATGATCGACGCATCATCCTCTCAGCATGGAATCCATCTGATCTTAAATTAATGGCTCTTCCACCATGCCACATGTTTGCACAGGTCTGCAGCTACATTTGGGTTTCTCTTTAGATTGTATGTGTATGTATAATTGTATATCTATTTTAAATTTTTCTCTACTTCATTTTTTGTTTGTGCAGTTCTATGTGGCAAATGGGGAGTTATCGTGTCAAATGTATCAACGATCTGCCGACATGGGCCTGGGTGTGCCGTTTAATATTGCATCTTATGCGCTCTTGACATGCATGATTGCTCATGTTTGTGGTAAGCAAATTATATGTACTTTGATGTACAAGACACCTTAATTATCCACAAATTTTTTTTATAAACATAATTTTTTTCACGGGAGAGAAACACAGCTTTTACATGTGAGGAAAATTGGCATCAAACAGTGGACTAATCAACCTGTATAATGTCCTTTTCTTGTCAGACCTTGTTCCAGGTGATTTTATCCATGTTATTGGGGATACACATGTTTACCGCAATCATGTGAGGCCTTTGCAGGAACAGCTCCAAAACCTGCCAAAACCTTTTCCGGTATGTGGGCGCATGTATAAGAAAATCATTTGCTTTGATGTAGATGCCTTCAAGATTTTTATTTTTAAGCTCTTACATTAGTTGCCTTTTCCTTTTTGACTACCTAAACTTATTTCAGATTTTGAAGATAAATCCAAAGAAGAAAGATATAGATTCTTTTGTGGGTGCTGATTTCAAGCTCTTAGGCTATGATCCTCACCAGAAAATAGCAATGAAGATGGCTGTTTAGGAATCTATGAGATTCTCAATCACTTCTTGAGGCTGTTGTGTTTTTTGAAACAAGGCAAGTAATATGTGTCTTTCATTGGTTCTTCTTGTAACTATTTTATCGGAAAATGCGTAGGTAATTAAGGTGCATTTTTAATAATATATCTAGTATGTTCTTACTGAAGTGTTGTTTCTCATTTGTTTCAGGCTTATCTAAAGGAGGTTTGCGATAAATTTATGGACAACTAATAGGAGACTAGTTGGACACACTTCAAACTTTACTTATTTTACAATTGTGAGTCCTTTAGTTCCACGCGTGTTGTGTCGTGGCTCTGAGGTGATTTAGGTTAACATTTTCACATCTTTACGGTTGAGACGTGCTGGTATAATTTTGAATGATCAACAACTTCATGTTTCAAGATCAATGGTGTCTTTGTGTTGGCTATTTGACTGTAATTTATTACCACCCTCGGCCTCAAACCGAAAAAAGGGAGGATAGAGTTAAATATGACTTTTGGGATGCTGTTTTGCTATATTATTCTCTTTGCTTTGTCACATCATTACACACTGTTTGTTTCTTAATTCTGGTATGATTTTGTTTGGATAAACAAGCCATTAATCTCGCGTATGGTGCCAGACTACGGTAGACGAGTCTGAACACTTTTATAATAACGGTGCACACACACTCACTGTTTCTTTACTAAGATACTAACATAGAAAACAATATTTTATATCATTTATTTATTTTTTAAAATTTATGAATCCTGGGTTTGGGAGATTAGACATTAAAGACACAAAATGATTCAATATTTGTGATTATGAGGAATTTGAAGTAGAAAACGACAAGTAGGATAAAGTTATTAAATATTGTAAGGTTAAATGTGTTTTTGGTCTTTTTAAATATTTTTAATTTCATTTTTAGTCTTTAAAAATATTTCCTTTAAAGAATGGTTTTTCTAATATTTTTCGTTCATATTTTTGGTCCTTCTTGTCAACGTCTGTTAACAAACATGTTTATGTGGCATGACATGTGACTAAGGTTAAAAACATACTTGAACTTATAAAATATTATAGCTAATCTGTAGCTAATCTTGAACAAATTCATTGCAGAAATTCTAAGTATGAGAAAATGCAGTATGTGTATACGAAATGATTGAAGGCTCTTCATGTTCATCACTATCTTGACTTCTGTTATGGACTGACCTAATAGCTAGAGTGGGTCCAACCTACTTTTACCTCCAGCGTGACCCATGCGACCATGGCCCATTAGCCTTAGTCCTCTGTCGGGCACTTCTGGTCGATTGCTTCTCAGAATCAGCAAGACCAATAATGTCCCCGGGCCAGAAACCTGCCCAAATCAGCGGCTATCTCTCCGTATGCTCGATACGAGTCGAGCAGACAACCAGGAAACGTCCAGGACGCCTCTCTACCTGTAATCTGCCTTCTCCTCGGAACAAACGGATAATTACGAGCACATATGTCCGTTTTGCCCAAGTCCTGACAGTTACCTATTTTTATGGACTCACATATCTAGGCTAAAAAATAGGGACCAATGACCAAGCGCCGGTGACATTATATAAACCCTCACACATGTGAAGACCAAGTATCTAATATTCATACCTTAAACCCTAATATCTTTCTTGTATCTTTTGACACCCATTCTTACTTGATCGTCGAAGTGCCTTGCAGGTACAACTCCTATTTCTCAACTTTTTAGCAAACTAGACATCATCCTTCGGTCCACTTGCAGGTTCTGTTCACCGGTAAGATCAGTGGCACCGTCCGTGGGAACTATCTTTCCCGTCTTCCTTTCCCTCAAAATCGAAGACCAAAGATACCTTCACTACTTCAATCATGGCCGACCATGATGACCATCACCACTCTGGAAAGACTGTACTCTCTCTCTGTCCACAAAATCGACGGAATCAGTGAGCATCCTACCTTGAGGATGACATCGACGTCAGAGATGGACAGACTGCGTCCCCAAATTCATTCGATGTCGAGCGCGATAATATCCAGTTCTTGGACGAGCAGAGGCCCAAAAACCTCACCGAGGAGCTGCTAGAGATCCTGCAACCAGTTCCTATTCCTCATAATACTGATCCGGCCATGGCATCACTGTTCGCTGCCCTCAACCAAACAGATGCCCTAATCCTACAGCAGAGCAAGAGGATTGGGGCCTGGAAGAAGAAGCGATCAAAGTCTCCTCCTCGGAGACACTGACGATACAACTCTCCGAGCCTTTCTCTGCCAAGGCGTGTTCGTCCAAACAGAAGGGAGCAGTAAGACGTTTCTTTCCTCAAGAAACGTGATTGAACACCTCCCCAGAGAGATCAAGGTTCTCTATCTTCCAAGAAGACAAAGAGCGATCGTCGACTTGATCGCGACCGATCACCATCGCCCAAACCGAGGCAACAACGAAGAAGTGTATCTCCCCGCCGGGACATCAACCCCCGACGAAGGAGGAATCATCATCCCCCGCCACCATCTCCCAAAGGAAGTGACGATGACGAGCCCTGAAACTGTTATCAAGAGAGATCATGGAGACCACACTCCCCATCATCCTAGAGAAACCTCCTCCATTGGGAACTTATGACGGAACCACTGACCCTGATAAGCACATCAAAAACATCGATGCACTGCTCAATTACAGGGGGGTTCGTGGAGCAATTAAATGTCATCTTTTTCCTACAACGCTTAGGAAAGGAGCCATGCCTGGTATAAGAGCCTTCCAGATGAATCCATCACGTCGTGGAAGAACCTGGGAAGATAGTTTTCCAGACACTTCATAACATCTCATCGACATCCGAAGTCAGAGGCATCTTTGGAGGCTATCATCCAAGGGAAGGATGAATCCCTTCGGGCATACATCGAGCGCTTCAACAAAGAAGACGTACAAGTCTCTACAACTGACGACATGAAAAAATATCTCCTTGAGCGCGGGCTCCGTCCCCGCAGTGACTTCGTCAAGGCTGTTTGCATCGAGACTCCAGCCACGCTCGACCCCCTCCTACTCAAAGCCCAAGCGTACATCTAGTACGAGGAGAAGAAGGCAACTATCAACGCGAGGGACTCACGTCGTAGGCAGTTTCTTAGCGTAGGTGCCGATTATCGTCGATAAAATTGAGGCTGCCGAGCAAGCTGTTAAAGACCTCCTAGAGGAAAATTTTATTTCTGAAGCACAGAACACAACCTGGCTGTCGAATGTAGTCTTTGTAAAAAAGAGTAATGGAAAATGGCGCATGTGCATTGATTATACCAATCTCAATTGGGCTTGCCCGAAAGACGCTTACCCCCTCCGCAACATCGACAAATTAATTGATAACTCTGCAGGTTTTAAACTGCTCTCATTCATGGATGCATATTATGGATACAACCAGATCCCATGTCCAAAACGGATAAAAAGTACACGACTTTCATGGCTAAGTCGGGCAACTATTACTACAATGTAATGCCCTTCAGTTTGAAGAACGTCGGTACTACATACCAACGAATGATGAAAAAAGTTTTCCAAGGAGAGATAGGAGACATGCTCGAGGTCTATATGGACGACATGATCGTCTAGTCTAAAGAGAAAACTGACCATGCTATCCACGTGAAGAAAGTCTTTGAGCAAGCAAGGAGGTGCAAAATACGATTCAACCTAGAAAAATGCACCTTCGATGTTTGGGCAGGAAAATTACCCGACTTCTACCTAACAGAATAGGGAATTGAAGCGAACCCCAACAAATGTCGAGCATTTTCTGAGTTTTCAATGCCAAAATCAAATAAATCTATTCAAATCCTAAACGAAATGCTCACCTCGCTATCTCATTTCGTGGCAAAATCTTCCCAACACGCTCTTCCCCTCTTCAAACTCCTCCACAAAGAGACAACTTTCGAGTGGTCGGAAGACTACGAACGCGCCCTCGTCCACCTGAAGCAGACACTATTACAACCACCAGTTCTTTCCCAACCAGAAAAGAAGGAAGTCGTCTATCTCTATCTGGTTGTGGCATCTGAGGCCGTAAGCGCCGCTCTCATCCGAGAAACCCCTGAAGGGCAGAAGCCCGTCTATTTCATGAGCAAAGCCTTATAGGGCCCCGAGGTGAGATACCAACAGATCAAAAAGGTAGCCTTAACGCTCATCAACACAACAAGGAGACTGAGACACTATTTCTTAGCCCACACAATTGTCGTCTAAACAGAGCAACCTATAAAGTAGTTGCTCGGTCGGCCAGACATGGGGGGCAGAATGTTGAAATGGTTGTTAGAACTTTCTGAGTTTGACATCAAATACAAAAGTAGGAAAGCCCTCAAGACTCAAGTGCTAGCCGATTTCGTGGCCAAGATGACTTTGCCTGCCCCCCAGACGAGACGCACATATGCACTATCTTCGTCGATGAAGCTTCCAATTTAACAAGAAGTGGAGTAGGCATTATCTTGGAAAATAAGGAGGGAATTCTGATTGAAGTCTCCCTCACGCTGTCTTTCCAAACTTCGAACAACCAAGCCGAGTACAGAGCATTTTTAGAAGGACTGCGCCTGGCCGAAGACCTGGGGACCGAGGAGGTAAAGATCTTCACACACTCCTAGCTCGTGGCATCTCAGATACGAGGAGAGTATCAGGTCAACAATGACCATCTCGCTGAGTATTGGGCTCTGGTCCAAGAGAGAATGAAAAAATTTGAGTCCGTAGACATGCAACACATTCCCTGCGAACATAACACCCAGGCAGATATCCTATCAAAACTAGCGAGCACCAAGAAAAAAGGAGGAAACAAATCGGTGATACAGGAAATTCTTCCTCCACCAAGAATCGAAAAACCCTCCTCGACTCTCGACGTATGCACCATAGGAGACAACCACTGCTAGATGACCCTAGTGTACAACTACCTTACGAAAGGAGAGTTACCGATCCATTATAAGAAGGCCGGCTTGGCCAGACGAAGAGCCTGCTCCTACATCCTGGTCGAAGGCAGATTATACAGGAGGGGGTTCTCCATCCCCCTCCTCAAATGTGTCGACCAGAACGATACAGCT